GTCGTCCACTGATCCAAGGGCACGGCTGTGTGCTGCGCCGGCGGCATCAGGATCGCGTCGAGGCTATTGTCGAGGAAGAGCCTGAGGTATTCGCGTGCTGCTGCTTGACGACGCACGTTGAGGCCAAAGAATCCCCGCAGATCGGTGCCTGGGAAGTTATTGATCCCGATTGCTTTGACAGAAGGAACTTCAGGCTCTCCGGTTCGGGCGAATAGCTCGAGATAGTTCTAAGATGGGAGATATCTCGTGTCAGTCTTTCTTCTTCCAAAAGTTTCGAGTAAGAGGAGATGGGACATTGCAGCTTACTTCGCTTCCCAGCAACGTCCAATACCGAATCAGGTCGAAATAGTGGTCTTTGACACTGGGCAAGGAAAGCGGTACGAGTTCAATATCCTCATTTTGTCGCAGAAGGTCCGCTCCTTTCTGGAGGCCACGTCGAACCGGTGGCGAAGGAGTGTACATACCGTCGTCGGCGACGACACCTATCCGAAGCTTCTTCTTGGGCTCGAGATTCACCCACGGTATCGATATCACCGTGCTGTCATACCGCCAGGTTTGTGCTGACATTGTCGTTTTGAGGAAAAGAGCAACATCCCGAAGCGACGTGGCCATCGGTCCAGCCGAAGAGCGCACCCCATCTGTACCAGGAGTTGTGAGGTCCCTTACACCACCATGGGGAACCAGTCCGACACTGGGTCTGAATCCATATATGCCGTTGCAGAGGGAGGGGATACGGATACTCCCGCCAATATCCGTACCGACTCCGAGCACGCTGCCTCGAAGGGCAAGGAGAGCACCCTCACCACCAGTGCTTCCACCTGCCGTCAATGCCGTATTGCGAGGGTTCAAGGTCCTGCCGAACACATTGTTATGGCTATCGCCAGTCATGATTGTCTGTGGAAGATTGGTCTTGCAGTACAGCACTGCGCCCAGCTCAAGCAGCATGGCCGCAGTCCCGCTGTCTTCCTCTGCTGGTTCGTTGACAAAACATGCCAATCCTGTCGATGTATCATATCCAGAAACCTGGAAGCTATCTTTCAACGAGATCGGGAGGCCGTGGAACGGACGCAGCGGCTTTTCAGGGGTTTGTTTCCGTTCATGATCAAGTGCACGGGCTCTCTCGATGGCCTGGTCGAAGAAAATCTCCGTCAAGCAGTTGGTCTGTCGACCCAGTGAGCTTTATAATATAAGATACGCCACGAGACGAAGGAGTGGATTGACAAACCAGTTGCTGCGCAATGGCTGCCCTCTTGCAGAAAGCCACGGTGACCTCTTCCGCCGACCAAACACCATCCTTGAGTTTCTCCAGAAGGGCGGTTGCGTCAAAGTTCGAGGTGATGTTGTACTCGGTGTCGTTCAAGATGCCACACGTCTGCGGTACTTGCATGAGATTTGTGAGCCCGTGATATTGTTCAGAGGGTAGCAGCCATTCTTTAGGGATCTTGGACTGCCGTTCCCACTGCTTCTCGGCCGCGATGGCTTGGTAGTTCTTGGGTGCGCTCGACATGTTGCTCTGCACGTCTTCTGCTTCTCAGAGTATTAGACGGTTGATTGCCTTTGCTGTAATAGGAGACCTCCATGGCTGGCACTCTTATACTGCGTTGCGAGCTCTCGACTCTGTCCCCAAACACCATGATTCATCTTGCTAGGAGTAACTGGGGCGGAGACACACCGTATAGTGCTCAAATAATTTAAGAATTCGCCGGTTCCGGTTCGAAAATAATCCTATCCCACGCGGCTGAGAAGAAGGCTTGGGTCAGGCCTCCCAGTCCTGTCACCGACGGGCAGGGTTCTGGTGCGACGTTCCCCTCCTGCATCCCTTATCTCTCATCGGACTCGTATCCCGCGAGAGCTGGGCTTTTTGTTTCTCCGTCTTTCGGTATTCACTTTGACTTCGTGTCAAGAAGAACTAATCCTCTATCCAACCCTCCGGTCATCGTTCCGGTCGATTGTGGATTCCTGGCTGGTTGCGCCAATCGGGAGCTTGACAATCTATTCGAAACTCCCCACCTGCGACACCACGTTGTGTCCCGTTCCAACTTTGGAAACCAACCTCTTACCGTGTTGTCTTCGAGACAGTACTCTTAACAATAAGCGTGTGAACCGCGACCGGAATATTGATTCTGTTCAGGCTCGTGAACCTTGCTCCCTGATTGATAGCGAGGACGAGTTTACTAGTGGCCATTGATTGTGTTCACCCGAGAAAAGTCCCGTTTCTGTTACATTGCGAATCAGTCGCTGTGCTCTCTCGCCCTCCCTTCTTCATTTGCTGGTGTCCTCTTGCCGGGTTACTCTGGAAGGTCAAAATGGCGTCAGTTACGCCCCGGCGCCGTGGAGTCCGGACTGCGTGTGACCGATGTTATTCACTCAAGGAACGGTGCGAGCGTACCGCCATGACTTCCAAGTGTATCAGATGTGAGAGGCTTGGTCATATTTGCCTGAATGTGCGCCCACTACGACAGGCGGGTCGAAAGCCCCAACACCAAGAGCGCGGGGCCTCTCAAACAAGATCCAGCGAGTCAAGCACGAGCAATCTATCGCAACACGACGTCGGTGACTGGCTGCGGGACGTCCCTGATCTCCGCCCGGAAGAGAGGGAACTGATGTCTTATCTCCTATACCAACCCGAAACCCTGCGCTTCTCCGTGGTCAGCCCTAGCTTTGAGGACGCCCAACGGCGGTCGTTGGAAGCTCCATTGCCGGCCGCTTGGCCTGTACTCAAAGATGCTTATCTCGCCTATGCAGGTGGGCTGCGAGCGTCTCATGCCGACATCACGCCCGGTGTGAACGTGGACACTAACCTCTGCCGTGCATCGTCCGCCATGAGAACATTGCGTATGCTGCCAGTAGCAAGTCCCGAGGATGCCGCGTTGTGTCTGACCCTGGGAAATGCATTGGCAATGTATATCTACACCGCCGTGGGCGTGGGTGTACCCGACATCTGCCACTACTGTCTCAGCACTGTCAAGCCCTACATTGAGCCGATGGCATCGACCCCTGAGACAGATTCTCGGCTCGTCTTTCTCGTATTGCTCGAGGTGATGGACTGCGCGGTCCACCGCCGGAAGCCGACACTCAAGATCCAGTCACCATCACCCACCGGCGTGGATCGCCACTTGGGACTCTGCCTCCCTCTCCTGCCATACTACTACGATCTCTGTGCCATCAGCCACTCTCTGGTCAACCCCGGCAACGCCGATATCATAGCCACATTCCATCAGCATCTCAACGGTATTCAAGCTGCCGTGAACGCATGGCAGCCGTCTCCGCCAAAGAATTTCGTCAACAAGTTCTCGCCCGTCGAAGTGGTGCACCTCCTAGCACAAGCGAGGGTGTATCGATTGGCGGCTCTGCTTCTCGCCCATCGCCTCCAACACTCCTTTGGTCAGCAGGACGATCAGGCAGACATCTGGTCGCGTGAGGTGCTGATGGAGCTCGAGCTGGCTCGACGGACGACACGACGGTCGCTCCGGTTTGTCACGCTGCCTTTTATCACTGCGGCTATCGAGATTCGAGACCCGGTGGCACGGACCAAAGCGGTACAGGATGTGGATGAGTACGTTGATCAATTTATGCCAGTCGTGCAAGAAGCCACCAAGACCTTTTTATCGCGGATCTGGCGCGAGCGGGATGCTCAGGAGATATCTTCCTGGTTTGACTCGCTTCATAAGCCATGTGTGATACTCGATTCTCTGAAGGGATCGAGCCACGTGTGAACTTTGGTCGTTGAATATGGGAATGGATATCATGTGAAGATTGTCACACTCACTACCTTGGCGTTTTACAGCCAACACCAAAAATCTGACCTTTGATGACATATATATATATGTTTTGCCGCCAACGCGAATCGAACACCAATACTTCCAACCAGCAAAAAGTTCAGATCGGATCGGCTCATCTTATCTTACCTTTCTCCCCCCAACAACTAGGTTCCAGCGCCCCTCATCCACTTTTCATATTGGAACCACTGTCTTGCGCTGCGCTGGAACTAGTTGTTTTCTTTGATGTGATATGGCGAGACCATCTGCTACCCTCCTCACCACCCCCAAGCTTAGGGGGGAGTGAGGAGGCAACAGCGAGCACATATCATATTTCATCAAAGTAGGGTGAGAAAGGCCCCGCCCACCAAACCCGATCTGAACTCTTTTTGTACAAATTCCCCTACTCAAAGGAGGTAGCATTATTTAATGAGGTCTCGTTATCGCCGTTGCGCCTTTTTTCAACCGGGGAATTTGTGACAGGTTTTCTGGGGGTTTAAATTATAATGTCACAAATTCACGGTGACGGGCATAGTGGAGAATCATGGGGGAGGAAGGGTGATGTGAATGTGAGTGTCTATGTGGTGATGGTTTTATATCGATGGCTTGGCGGGAGGTTGTGGTGTCACATACCGAGTACAAAATCTCCCCTATGACCCAGAGTATATGAGCTACCATCTTTAAAATTGGACGCCTCAAATACAACGCTAATGCCCCTTCATCAGATAGATCGGCTGTGTTCTGCTCGTTTACACAACCAGGAACGACATGGTGCAGCTCGTATGTACTAACCACTCTGGGTCGACGCCTGTCTAGCCTGCGCCTCGATCCATAACATCAAACCGAGCAAGCCAGACCATACCAGGACTACTTCAGCAGCACCAGCAGGTTCTGTGAGTAACTCGTACTCGTATAAACCAACCTCGATCGGCAAAGCAGGGCCTTTTAAATTACTTCCACTGCCAGCTTTTGGGGTTGGCTAACTTTACGGCTCCCTGCGCGAGATACCAGGTATACCACGGCTATGCTGCGTTTCCGCCCCTCTCAAATTTCGAGTCTGGCACCCCAGGTTGTTCACGAGGAGTGCGTGTCCAACGAGGCTGCGAGTTAATCTATTGGCTTACAATATCAGGCGTCCGAGCACGGCGAGGACAAAGGAGATATAAGAATGGACCGCGCATTTCTTGTTGTTCGCAGGAACACAAGCCATCTCCAATCCCCCCGATACGGATGAAAGCGAAGATGAAGCGCACTACTGCACTCTCGCTGTCTACCCTGTTTACAATCTCTTTAGCGCAGTTCCCGTCTGCCCCTACTGGGCTCGATGTTGTTACCTCCAAGGTCAACCCCAAAGTAAAAATCTCCTACAAAGAAGTGAGTATCTATACGAAAAAGCCACATCCATCTACTAACAAAAGTGACAGACCAACATCTGCGAGACCACCCACGGAGTCAAGTCCTATAGCGGTTATGTCCATCTTCCTGGGTCCATCCTCGCAGACGTCGGCGGCTTCGACATAAACACCTACTTCATCTATTTCGAGGCGAGACACAATGCTTCGACCGCTCCGCTTGCCATCTACCTCGCGGGGGGTCCTGGCGAGAGTTCCATATATGCGGCGTTGGCGAGTGAAAGTGGACCGTGCTACGTCAACGTCGCAGGCAACGACACGACGATCAATCCGTGGTCGTTCAACACCCACGTCAACATGCTCTACCTCGACCAGCCCGTCCAGACCGGGTTGTCGTACGACGAACTCGTCAACGGCACCTTCGACATCGAGACGCTGCTCATCACACCAGAAGATTTCACCTCCGCGGCCTTACCCGCCACGAACGCAACCTTCCAAGTCGGCACGTTCTCCAGTCAAAATCCGCTACACACCACAAACACGACCGTGTCGAGCGCGAGAGCGCTATGGCATGCCGCCGAGCATTGGCTCTCCTCCTTCCCGGGCTACTCGACCTCGTCCAAGAAAGTCAGCGTCTGGGGCAACTCGTACGGCGGATTCTGGGCCCCCGAGACCGCCGCGCTGTTTGACAAGAAACTCAAGACCCTCCCAGCAAAACACCCGCTAAAGACTAAAGCACTGACGGTGGACACCCTGGGCATAACCAACGGGTGCATCGACTTTGAGTACTCCATCCAGGGATACCCGCAGTTCGCGTACAACAATACCTACGACGTGCGGTTCATTCCTGAAGCGATCTACAACGAGACCATGGACAATATCACGAAACCCGAGGGTTGCTTGGACCTCATCAAGAGATGTCGCTCGGTCGGGCTGGCCGGCGACCCGCAGTTCAACGGGAATAATGAGACTGTCAACGAAGCGTGTCTGGCGGCTTCGGCCAGCTGCGAGGGCATCCTCGGTGCATTTGACGCGTTCAATAATGTGAGTTGGATATCACACCTCCCTTTTGTCTCCCCTTCTCCATTTACTTGGTCACCCATGTCCCCATGTCCCCATGTCCCTCCCCCTCCCCCTCCCTCTCCTATCCATCCGACAGCGTACATCTCTATAAGTATCCATGATATAACTAACGCAACGCCCACCCCAGCGAAGCGACTTCGACGTCGCGATCCCCACCCCCGACCCCTGCCCCTACTACGTCTCTGTGAGCGAGTATCTGAACCGGCCCGACGTGCAGCGCTCGCTAGGCGTGCCCCTGAACTTCACCTACGACTCCGTGCTCATCACGGGCGTCTACGGCCTCTTGCCGCCACCAACCCCCTTCATCGGCACGGGCGACAGTTTCCGCCAAGCCGGTCTCCGCAACGTCGAATCCCTCCTGACAGAGGGCGTCAAGGTCGCTCTCGTGTTCGGCGACCGCGACTACCGCTGTCCGTGGACGGGCGGGGAGGCCACAGCCCTGGCGGCCCGGTGGGCGCACCAGGCAGAGTTTGCCACTGTCGCGGGGTACGAGGCCGTCCAGGGCGGCGGGGCGAAGCATCCAGCGCTGGTGAAACAATTCGCCAACCTGTCATTCACCCGCGTCCTCGACGCCGGCCACTCCGTCAGCGCGTACGCGCCCGAGACCGTCTCGGTGGTGTTCGACCGCGTCATGCTCGGGCGCGACGTCGCGACGGGGTCGCGCCCCGTCGGGCAGAAATACCATTCCACGGGACCCGTGGACAGTTGGGCGTGGCGGAATAAACTGCCCCAGACAGACGAGGTGCCTCGCACGTGCGTGGTCGAAGGGGGGTTTACGGAGACGAATCCGTGGGAGGAGTTGGTGTCGGCGTAAGAGACGAGGAGATATAGGTTCGTGGATACATGCTGGATGGGTAGAATGGGTGGGTGCATGATTACTGTGTCATATGTATATGTGTCCTGTGCGACCCTGCGCGACCTGTGCGATATGACTGTCTTGGGCAATACGCGTGATGTCTGCGGCAAGTATGATATGCGTGATATGCGTGACAGGTACGTTACTATAATATATAAGGTGTATGTACCTAGTAGTCGGCGGTGGTGGTGATGGCGACCATGATTCATTGATTGATTGTAATACAGCTTATGCGAATACTTCACACTCCCCCGTCCGATAGCTCAGTAAAATGCGGAAATAACAAAACCAACAACGAAACGAAAGTACAGACTCATTTGTCTACATCGTTTGAACCGGCATCATCACTCCCCCCCCTCCATCATCATCCGCTGCAGCTCCGCAGCAACCATGCCCATGATGAACGGCTGCTGCGACGTCGTGAACATGTATCCGCGACTCGTGTATCTCAACTCTTTTAGCAGAACCGGGGAGCCCGCGAGGTATGCGCCCGGCAGGCCAAACGCTGTGTAGAAGGAGCCGTAGATAAGGAAGTGATGGTCTCGCAGCTTAGGTATCATGGCCGAAACAGCACTTGCGGACAAACTTCGTGGTTTGGTGCCCGACCATAGACTTCCAACCCCGGCGCTATCGTACAAGAGGACCGTCATGCCGGACCGGCCGCGTATTTTCTGAATCATCTCTATCAGATTGCACTGCTCTACCAACCCGTCACGCTGACCCTTGAATGCGGAATCGACTAAAAGGGTGACATAGGTCGTTCGGCCACACGAGCGCACTTGGTCGAGTAGCGAGTTGATGCCGTTACCGTACTGTTGGACTTTGGGAGCTCCCTTTTTGGATGCGACGCGAAACCCTGCCCAGGCTGCCTGGGGTGCTGACTCCGGGACCAGAAAGACGTGCTTCTTGAAACCCAATACCGGACGACAGAGAGCTGCAACGGTCGACATGAGACCGACGAATGAGTCGGGGTAAGTAAGAGCCTGGGAAGTAACCGTGAGTCTTGCAACGAGCTTCTCGGCTTGGATATGCAGTTCTGACGTGCCTGTGATCCAGCGCGCACCTCCAGAGCCGAGCCCAAATTTGCTACGCACTGCATGACCAGTATCCAGCATAGCTTCACGGTGGATTGTGTCTGTGCTCAGCACATCTTGGTCAATGAGTCGTTGAATATAGTCGGCCGTTTGTAGTGCCTCCGCTTTTTCCTGCTTCGAAGGTGCCTCTTCAAGGTAGTTGAACAATCGGGGCTCAAATTTGGTGTTCCTTACTAGCCCAATACTTCGAGTAGCCGTAAAGATTGCCACGATAAGTCCATTTACCGTGTCGTTGTCGTGATCTGCTGAAAGACAAATGCGGACGCGGGACTCCCAAAATGGAACTGCGGGAGTTGATACAGGCGTTGCGAGCAGTCCGACCTTCCTAAGTGCATAAGACATTTTTGCTGCCATACTGGGCCGGCCTGCGTAAACTGGTAGAATGGGGGAGATTGCATTACCGTAGACATGGATACCTGCTCGGCGCAGTTCTTCGCGGACGAAGGTAGTCATTACCGCCAACCTCCGAAGATGACGCCGCAGCAAGGTTGGCTGACCCAAGACATTCAGAGTCTGAATGATAGATGAGGTCGGAATAGGATCCACTCCGGCAACAAGCATCTCCTCACGACGCCTCAGAACTGCAGAGGCAAATCGAGATTTCCCACACACAATGCCACCAATTGCGCCTACTGACTTGGACAATGTTGCAGTGCGCAGATCGAAGAGGTCGCTTGGGACGAGTTTGTCAGGGTGCTGTTCATTCCAAACCTCGATACAACCCCGACCAGAACGGCCGAGGCACATCAAGGAATGAGCTTCATCTGCGAGCAGCGTGAAGTCATACTTTTGCTTGAGGCGCGTGAGCTTGTCGAGAGCCGGGACCGTGCCGTCCATGCTGTTTAGGTTAGAAATGATTTATGGGATGACATGATGACTGACCTGTAGAAGCCCTCAACTGCAACCAGTACATTCGTAAATCTGCCTTTGTATTCGGCAAGCATTTCTTCCATTCTTTCCAGATCGGCATGTGGGAATTTCTTGACGAGTCCGGCATGACTGAGGTATGCGGCGACGTGCATCGAGTTGTGGCACTTGTCGTCAAACATGACAAGCCAGTCACCATTCAGGATCGCCGAGAAAGCCAGTAGATTGGAACCGTACCCTGTACTGGTAGTACAACAAAAGTTGGCTGAGAAGAATCCGGCAATGCCGTCGTGCATAGCCGATTCCAGGGATCGTACTGCACTTGAGTCGGCCACGGGTAACTTCTCAAGCGCTAGGTGCTGCAACTCTTCAGCCTCTTTTGTGAGGTGGTAGAAACCAGCATAGTTGTGCGATGCCGCTTGAATAACAATCTGCCTTGTACCGTGGCCATCTTGAACTTCCATCTTTGGAGCCCAACGCCCCAGCAATATGCGCTCGTTCTTTCCGCTCCGGTTGTCCAGCGGGTAGACGTAGCAGTGATTGAACCTCCCTATCGCAGAGATGGGCTGCTGCTCATGCTCGCGCTGTTGCAGTGAAACCTTGCCACGTGTGTATATAAGTCTGACAGTCTCAGAAAGCTTTGTCCAGGTGGTAGTTGTTGGCGACTGATAGACATCATGTTCGACGGGTCGTCGCGGAAGAGAGTCGCCTGAAGACTGGAAAGAGATGGATGAGCAGGCTGGCTTTGTATACTAGTCTTGTAAGCACACTGTCTACAATCACGCTCGATACTTTCGTGTTGACTTACGTGAAACTCCTTAGCACCCGATTCGGAACTATCTGAGCTGGTTATCGAAGCTGTCTCATGGATGCTTAGAATGACTGGCGGTTTTCCTACTTCGGGCTGCTCAAGGCAGCCTAAAGCGCTCTTTTGGGGTGTAAAATCCATGATCTAGTGAAAGAAAATCTGGTGCGGTTGAAGCCATTCGATAGACTGACTTGTTGCTGTGGGCACGCGGAACCTGTTAAATAACCTGAGCACGCCATGATCCTGCGTCCAGACCACATCGTAAGATCTAGCGCAGCCGACATTCCAGGTCAGGGTAGCAGCGGAACTGGGTCTGGACAACGTGGTGCACTTTGCTCGTTTGCACGAGGCTATTTTTGTACAGATATCCCTTGCCAATCAAGCAATAGTCGCTCGCCATGTTCAGACTTGACCGCGCACATTCATTGCCTCCTATCGGGCTTGCTTGCAGGGTGGTGATGCCAATGACATCGAGGAGGCCTTCAGGTGTATGAGCGGCCTTTGCTGGAGCGATTTGGTTAGGTACCAACGGACGGCTGGCTGAAAAGGAAGAGTCGGCATCAACGTTAGCCTCAACTCTATCCAACAGTTAGAACTCCCAACAGCAAGGGAGTGTCCACAACGATCTGGATGAGTCCAACCCGAGTTCGATAGCCTGTATTTGGCAAGTGTGAACAAGCCTCAGATGCCGTCTTCGGTCTAGACGGTTCATGTGGAGCCAATAGTGAAGAGCGCATTCTCGGATAGGAAACCGTTGAGCTGACTTGGCCGGCCTAGTGGAGGGTGTTCAGATCGCCCGCTTAGAGAAGCTCGCATTGTCTGCTATGTTCCTCTCCTTCAGCCGCGGGTTAGACTTCATCTCGTGCCGGTTCCAGCTGTGCTTTGTCCATACGTATGAGGAGGTGGTCTGCCACAGACTGTTGGCCGAAGAGGTCAGCCAGCCAGCTTAACGACTCTGGGCGGTGTCGGCGATATGATCATATCATTCGTGGCATATGCGACTCCGTACTGCCAAACAAGGGCTTCTCATTGAATTTGAAGGCTCGTATACCGGTGCATCAGGAATTTGGGTCGATATAACGAGTTGCAGCTTTGTCTCCATTCAGCGGCGGATGCAAGCAATGAGTGTAATTCAGCCGCTGGAGATGGCACAGGGCCTTTTGTGGTGGGCCGTGGGATCATGTTCAATCGGGTGATGTTTGTTCGCGAATTCACAAGTTCGAACTCGGTTCGTGAGCGACTGACTGCGAGTTCTTGTTCTCGGCCGAAGCAGCTCGACTGAGGCCTCCGAGATGAAGGGCGCAGTCCAGCAACCCCGCATTCTCGGTGGTTTGAGCGGGCGGTTTGTGGTTCCCCGTTGGTGCCAGATGGATGTGGGTGTCTCTATTCAGCAAACAATAAGGGTTTTTCGCGACATGAACCCCTCAAAGAGTGAGATGAAATAAGTGGTGAGGATATCATTGTTGCTGTAGTAGGTGTAGCTTGGTTTCGGCCAAGAATTACGCGAAATCAATGTCGATGTCGAATTCAGTGATCTGAGTCATTTCCAGTGATTTCCCAGCACTTTCACTCCCACCAGCAATCACCATCAAGTACAAATTACTTGTTTCCTTATACTTCACTCTCCAAGCGTCGATGAGCTGCCCAAATTAACATGGACTACATCAAGCGTCTTCCCCCTATTGCCTCGCGAGACCGTGTTGCAAATGCTGCTGTTCTCACTGGCGCATCGACTTTGGCATTGAGCGCGCTCGTCTGGTGCATCCGAGATTATCATGCCTTCCTGGCTCTGGGACCTGGCGGAGTTCCATACAATGTCAAGGGCTGGGCATTCGTGACCATGATTCGAATATTTGCTCTTTCTAAGCGCGGCGCAACCCAGGTCTCAGACTACCCAGCCGACGGTGCACACGAAGACATCAAAAATCTGCCATTGCGAAAGGGCGATCGCGCTGCCGTTGGGGGAATCATCCCACATCGTCAGCTTTCACAGCATTCGCCTGATGAGATGAAACCGGTATGAATGATCGTGACATTGATGACCAGCCGCTGGGTCGCTGATCGGTTTCCAGTACATCACGAACATGTTCAAGAATGTCGTTGTGCAAAACAGCGAACTACTGGAAGAACGCCTCTCTATATATGAGAAACACAATCCCGCCATTTTCATACGCGAAGATATCCTCGCGAGCGAGGATCCATCAGCTCCCAAGCCGTCCTCGACGGCTTACACTGCTCGCGGCGAATGTGGGCACGTCCACCCTGATGTAAGTAGCGAAGACCTCTGACTGCTTGCACATCTTAATGCACCTGATTATGGACTTCTAACCCTGCTGGATGCTAATCTTGCCGTCCATTAGTACTCAATTCATCTATACCTTTCCCCGGCCGACGCTCGACTCATCATCGAGAAGGGTTGGGGAGAACGCCACAGATTGTCAAAACCGAAGACAGCAAGATTGAAATTCGAGAAAGCTCATGTCGCCGACACATACCTCATGATATACGGGCCCAGAGACACGGATGAAATCGAAGTTGTGCGCAAAATCTTACAAAACAGTGTCCGTTTCATGTCAGGAAGAGAAGACGTCCGAGCTCCGGAATGGAAGGTGGCCCTGGCTGCTAAATAATCTGCGAAGGCTATCGGCAGAACATATATGGTCACGGCGAGACGATCGTCGGTTGGTAAATGGTGTAACTAATATCACAAAACTAAGGGTTTCTTTAATAACATCACTCCGTACGCGTTGAAATTGACGTTACAGCACGCTACACAGACACCCTTCGGTTATTCAAAGACACCACCACTAGAGAGTGACAATGCCGTCCTCAACTGACGTTCTGTCCCAGCTCTCCTGGTCGTCCTTCCCAATAGTCCAGTGCACTACCCAGCGCATCTCCTAATGGCTCTATCACCCACGTCTGTGTCCACCGACCACACTAGCAGACAGCACTTGTTGGAGAATGAGCGATTTCTGATTTGATCCTCCATGGCTCAACCCCCCCTGTCGTTGACTGCGCCACAATCCTGCCCTTTACCTTGCTCTCCCGTCGTCAATCTCATCCCCCCTCTGCAGGTGATCCAGCCAAAGCGACAGGATCAGGCATTTTGATTGGCCAGACTCGGTATCTACCCCGGGAATACATATATGTAGGCAAAGCTATTTGTCTTGGTCCTTGATTTTCCCTGACCAGCACTATCTATGTGGAGATCGACCTGCTTGCATGTGCTGTCCGGTTGGGGGTCATTCACTTTTTGGTAAAAATGGCTCATACAAATTGTACCTGCAACGACTACGCACTTGCTCTACGCAATGCGCACAACCCAGGAGGAAAACAGGGAAAGCTGGAGATGTTTCGCTGGCGTTCGAAATTCACTCATATAACAAAGACATTCCCATGCACTACATGGGGAAACAATATCCACCATTCCCACAAATGAGCGACAGTGTGCTCTTGCTACAAATGGCCCTGATTCTCATCATCGCAACTGCATACTTTCTGTGTCCCTTTGCCTTGGCTGCAGTTACCTTGCTATATTTTCTGGTCTTTTGAAGGGAAATAGCAACCAAGTGCGACACCAATTTCTTCAGCTTTTTCACGCAGGGTCTGTTGGCCATGATTTCACTTTGATTCTATCTTCGCTTCTGCTCTCGCCTGCTCCTCGTCGGGACAGAGACCGTGCATCGAGGTCTGAGGTGCAAAGCTCCCTAACAAAGGCACCGTTAAGAGTCGGCTTGAAATCGATCCTCTTAAGTGTTCGCGTATATGGCCCCGAATATTGGCGGTGGTCTTCAATCAAGGACCATCTGGGAGCCATCAGCAACGAAGTCCATGACCACTGTTTTGAGAATCACAGGTGAGTAAGCTTGAGTTTATCTCCTAGGAGAAAGATGCTGATTTGAGACTCGCCAGTCACCTCGGCGTCGTCGGTGCCACCACGGCCAATTGATCAGATCACGGACGCGTATCGTCGTCGATATGCATCTTACCTCGCCTCAACTTTTCACATCAGCGTCGAGGCGGCGAATCTCGAGGCGGATTATCAGTTGCAGCCTCGTCGCCGATCTGAGGCCTCTGAATCCGAAGTCTACAGAGTGTAAACCGGGCGGGCTTCAACATGTATGAGCGCCCCTCTATGGGGAGACTGTCGAAGGACATCCGAGTGAAGGGTGATCATTTATTCCGCGCTTATCAGAGTCCGAGTTATCAGGAACGTTAAATACTTGAGGAGATGAATGCAAGGGCCTGGTCCCTACCCAACTAGCTGACTTTTCCCTCGGTCAGGGTTTTACTCAGCGCGTAGCTCTGGCCACTAGAACATAGTCGCTGAAAGGTCTCCCCCTGGCCCCTGGGAAATATTAGGTTCGTCTAAATCAAGCGAGCGCTCGGGGACTAGCCGACATGCTTGACGAGGGCGGATTGTCAAGAGTTTCGGTAGATCATCCGTCGTGTGGCACCCCCTGTTAGCTCCCCAGAACTGGTCGAGGGGATTCTTCCCTCCACGACAGTCGCAATCTGGGGTTTCTGCCAAAGGACCATCAAGACTCACTTGCTTGAGATGACTTGAGCCATAGCCCATATCCCGGTGTGATGCAAAGATGTCTCCACTGGCATTGGAGGCCCAGGATAGACTTGGAGGATCGACAGGACCATTGAAACGGGGCTTGAGATAGTCAGACGCGTCTTCCAGACTCAGCAGAAAAATGCCTCATATCAAGATTGCCAGAGACAGGAAGAAGTATGTGCTTGAGCATCCTCTTCCTACCAAGCCGGGTAAGGGTCATGCTGAGTCAAATAGGGGAGGAGATGCAGATTTATTAAATGTGGCATTGTCCGCAGGAACAACGCCCTTCGACCAGGGTTCAGAGGCACCATCCCGATGGAAAAGGAAAGCTGCGTAACCGCCACCAATTGTAAGCCGCCCTACAGCAAACTCCGCTCGTGTGCATTGGGCGTGGGATGCGTCTTCGGGAAGACGGAACAGCGCATTGACACTCGTCAACCTCTTGGCTTGATATCAATCCATCTTTGATCTTTTGTCCTGCCCCGTTCCCATTCATCCTACTCCTCTCCGTTTGACGGACCAGCACGTGCAGTCTTCGAGGAATGACCACAGATCGACGGTGCTCCTTCAGTGGTAGCACAGCGGAAGAAGACTCAGAATTAAACGGCGAAGATGATGCTGGAGAATCTTCCCGCCTGGTTCCGAGGTAAATCCTGTTTGCTGAACAATAGCGTTGCGACCACTTTCTGATGCCGCCTTTAGTTCCAGTCCCATATCCAGAGTCCTGAGTATGTTGAAACTGGCGACCTTGCACAATCCAGGACGGTTGCACTGACACGACGACTGACAGGACGTTTCCCTCGCTTTATTCACCGCTCATCTGCCCCCCATGGCTGCGCTGTTGGTCACCGCAACCGGGACTTCTCTCATTACTCTGACTCTCGTGGAGTGAAGCGCAACTGTTTCTCTCAAGCAGTAGTCGAGATTTTTGCTACTGTCCGCGCCATCCTGGGATATTCATGGCTTAACAGCCTCCTGGTTTTCGTCCCGTTGGCCATTGCCAGCTACTTGGCTCGAGCGAACCATGTTCTGGTTTTCACGGCAAATGTCATCGCGGTAGTCCCATTATCGAGCTTGCTCACCTGCGCGACGGAAAACATTGCACGAGAGTCAGGCGACGTGGTTGGAGCCTTGCTCAACGTGACGTTCGGAAACCTGGTCGAGATTGTAATCTTGTGAGTCCAGTACTGTATCATTACACAAATATCGAGAACTAACATCGACCAGTCTGTATGTAGACCGCTTCCAGTTCCTGCACTGTATCTGGCTGACGACTCAAGTGCCGCCCTCTATCATAAGCAATATGAAGTGGTACAAGCCTCTCTTTTGGGCTCAATCCTCGTGAACCTCTTGCTCGTCTTGGGATTAGCAATCCTGGCCGGAAGTTTTTATCATCAAGAGCAGTCTCACAGAATAGAGGACGCACAAGCTCTGGCCTGCCTCCTCAGTGTGTCCGTCTTCAGCTTGCTCATACCTGTAAGGACCAAGTCGATCAGAGAGTGCTAGGTACTGTCCGAGGCTGATGCATCTTAGAGTGCCCTTGTCCACTCCTTTGACGATCTAGAGTCTGCTAGACCAGCCGTGTTAACCTTGAGTCGAGCGTCTGCGTTGACCTTATTGGCCATCTATTTACTCTACATCTTTCTGCAGATCAAGAACACTATTGTCAACAGATCACCCGTGCGCGTTGTCGGTCCAGACAGCATAAATGGTTCTGTACGGATGAGTGGTGATGCTGCTGCTTCCAGTGGATTGTTATTTCCGCGTTCGATTCGGTTCCAAGATGAGGAAGAGGCCGGAGGCTATAAAAACACACCCCTTGTGCGGAAAGACAGCTTGGAGATGTCTGCGTTCGATGATTCCGGACAATCACAAATGGAGTCGGACGACATCAATGGACACCCTAACTTCGAAAGATCTGACGAGGATGAAGATGGCGACACACAGGGCCAGGAGTGGAAAACTTCGTCTGACAAGATACGGAACCCAAGAAGCTCCATCTATCAATTTGCTGCGCGTAGACAAGGACAGGATTCCGGCAATTCGAGTCAGCGGCACATGAGTCCTGCTGGCTTGCAGCCGTTACGGTCGCACCGCTCGTCCTACGCAGGTTCAACATCCAGTCTTCCACGTCTGCTTTTGGGAAGCTCCATCGCCAATATCGACAGTCCGAGTGATATTGTGAGGCTTGAGGACCCACCATTGGTTATTGGGAAACTAGCTTCCAGCTTACTCCTCGTTATCTCATCCTTACTTGTGGCCTTCTGCGCCGAGTTCCTTGTGAACACACTCGACGATATTGTCGACTCTGGGCCATTTTCGGAAGCATTCATCGGGCTCATTATACTCCCAGTTGCTGGAAATTGTGCGGAGCTCATCACTGCGACAGCGGTCGCCACTGTAAGTCGCATGTTATCCTCGAAACACGGATGTACCCAAGCGGTCACGCTAAGATGGACGCTGGTGTGGTTGGTAGAGGCTAACAGATATCTGCAGAAAGGCAAGTTCGACTTGGCCATCGGCGTCTCTGTTGGATCATCCGTTCAAATCTCTTTATTTGTCACGCCTTTGATCGTCATTGCGGGCTGGGCTCTGAACAGGGACATGACCATGTATTTTGGTATCTTTGAGACTGTGGCACTTTTCGCCACAACTTTTCTGGTGAACGTGCTCATTCTCTATCGCAAGTCAAACTTCTTGGAAGGAAGCCTGCTCTGTGCCTGCTACTTCATCATTGCAGTCGGAGCATATCTCTTCCCCACACCAGATCATCGAGCTCTGCATGACCGTCCTCCAGACTAGCTTGGGCCACTTCGCAACGAGTAGTGAAGAGGATATCGGATTGAACAAGATTGGAACGGCGATCGGTCCTGAGGAATTTTCACATCCCATCCTCCAAGACTCGAGGTGCAATCCAAAACAGCAAGGTGTGACGCCAAAGCACCCTGGCTGAACGACGAGAAATGATGAACGAGACACGACGTACCTCGAATACTTTGGGGTAAAGCTGGAATGATGCAATTGTACCCACAGCTTTTCGATTGATGAAAGTCGGGTATGGGTCTTCGACGACAGATACCCCAGCTAGAGACAACTCTCGACTTAGTGAAATAGCAGAAGGAAGTGAAGGCAAATGTGACAGGCAAGGCTGAGGCGATGGTGGCAAGGCTGAATATGTTGACTCAACAAACCCAACTTGCCAAGTGATCATGACTCGTGAACACAGTCAGTCACCTGACTGAATTAAATCCCAACATCATCCCCGGCCATCATCCGCTTTCAATGTCACCTTAAAACTTGCTTTGCACATTTAGCTTCGTTGTCACCGTGACACCCAAACATCTTACTGATAAGACGGCGATCTCTCCCCGCGATCAGTCTGGTACGATGGCAGGAATCGAAAAGCTCCTCAGTTTCTCAATTGTGGGCGGGGTACTATTTGTCCTGGGCTGTAATGGCCATGTGCCTCAACTCTCAGATTTGACGTATATCTGAGGCTTCAAACTCTCGGACACCTCGGACCATTACTGAGAACAAAGGTACCTGGCCTGTGGCAAATCTCAGATACCCTTCCCCACGTATTCCTTATCTTTGTTGTATCTCGCTCGTGGATGGTCAGAATTACTGCATTGTTCGATCCCTTGTCCTCCTTCAAAGGTAAAATGTCACTTAACTGGTTAGCATGCAGTAACATCCATGACTTGCCGGTCAACCTTGGCGTATAGGATGTGATATGCTCCGCTCTTCGGTTATCGAGCTTGTTATCTGCCAATCGATAATCGCAAGGCCTTCTACTTTGTTCTTCTCCGCCTTTTCCTCCTCGAGGTCGCGGAGCCCGCTGCGGACCCTCAGAGGATGGGTCGGTGCAATAAGAACACGGCAAACAGCACTCGAAGGCCTCACTCATCACTGCCAAGAATCGACGAAGGTCGTTTGAGGATTAAGCAAACACAAGTCGTGGGCCGAACTCAAGGTTATCCGTAACCGCAAACGTTCAGTCTCGGCTTCAGGCTGCCGCGATCCGCCCAACGGGCAATACAACGCTGCATTGGCCAATGGCTTTCGTGGGCTCTCGGTGTCCTATCTGAGGAGTGGTGTGACTGGTGTTTCTCTGAGAGCCGATCCTAGCAAACAGAGTTCTTCTAAGCATGCGCTATTCGCGAAGGTTTGTGCTGCACAAGAGCTTGGGACAGGGCAGGATTCTGGTATGATGACATAGCTCGCTTGCCGGGGTTCATATTTGGCTGATGCTGCACCCTTACTCGGACGTCAACTCTCATCGAAGCTCACCCTCTTCACAAAATGATGAACATGTTGTTTAACCGATGGGACGTCCTTCTGGTGGTGGGCAGTTTCCTGCTGTCCGCCGCTTCCGGGCATCGTCGAGATGTTTCTCAAAATCGAGGCTTTACTCCAAGAGCGTTGGAGGATATGCGAGCTATGTCTCTCTACGGCAGGGATACCCCAGTGGCAGACCGACAGTATTACACCAATGCGACCAAGAGTGAGTCTGAAACCCCTGGCCCGCCTATCGCCTTCCTTAGCAATTGCGCTTGACTAACGATGGCGCAATATAGAATACTATGTCGAGTCATTGCCCGACATCCCAAAGAACTTTATGACCGAGATGTACTCGGGCGTTATCCCACTCAACATGTCCGACGATAGCCGTGGCATGTTTTTCGTCTACCAGCCTCGTGTCGGCCCACCGGTCGAAGAGATCACTATTTGGTTCAACGGCGGTCCAGGTAGGACTCTGCAAGCTGGTTGCGGGATGTTCCATTGATTGAGTTCGCAGGCTGTAGCTCTCTCGAAGGGTTTCTTCAAGAGAATGGCCGAATTCAATGGTCTTGGGGACAGTATGTATTCCACAACGTTTAGGCGCGAATTTCTGCACCACCCAACACTCTCCATGGACACACAGATACTTGGTGCTAAGTAAAAGCAGATACGCACCGGGAATCAACCCCTATTCATGGGTAAATCTAACCAATATGTTATGGGTGGAATACCCGATCGGGGTGGGGTTCTCACGTGGCGAGCCGACCGCCACGAATGAAGAAGAACCTGCTGCTGAATTCATCGAGTTCTTCCGCAACTTCCAAGTAAGACTCAAATCGACCCGAAACTGCCACTGAGGTATGCATACTGAGAACTCCTAGACGATTTTCAACATCAGCAACTATAAGATTTACGTCACGGGTGAAAGCTACGCTGGTCGATACGTCCCGTATGTTGCGAATGCAATTCTTGATCAGAACGATACTACGCATTTTAATCTCTCAGGTACTGGCCACCATGAGATTCCATGACAGCGCAGCGAATTGATCATTCGTCTTAGGTGCTTTGGTCTACGATCCGTGCATCGGGTCTTATGACTATTCCAACGCCATTGCGATATATCCGTGGATTCAACAGAACAACAACATTATGGGGTTCAACAGCACATTCGTCGACCTTCTCGCCCAACGTGACCAGAGCTGTGGCTACTCGCAGTATCGCGAGGACTTCCTGCAATTCCCGCCCAACGGCACGCAACCACCCCTCTATCTCAATTCGACGGCCGACCCTGACTGCGACCTGTGGGATCTCGTGTATGATAGCGCTTACAGCGTCAATCCATGCTTCAACGTCTACGAACCGAACCTACAGTGCCCTTTACTGTCCGACCCTCTCGGGTTTCCCAGTGATCTAATCTACTCATATCCTGGACTGCCGCCGTACTTCAACCGCACCGACGTGAAGAAAGCTTTGCATGTTCCTGTGGACAGTGACTGGGCACTATGCACGGGACCAGTGTTCGTAGGTGAAGGCGGTCCCCAGGATCTGGGAGATTTGAGCCTGGATCCAATTCAGGCCGTGCTACCCAGAGTCATTGAAGCTACAAATCGTGTCTTGGTGTACGTTTCTCCTGGCTAAGAATATACTCTCTGCCATATTCTATCGGCCTTCCGCGAGCTAACTTGTCATCAGGTCCAATGGTGCCCTGGACATGGATCTCCTCTTGAACGGGACCATGCTCGCCATCCAGAACATGACATGGAACGGGCAGCTCGGCTTCCAGACGGCGCCTTCGAAGCCCATCATCATCAACATCCCGGACATCCAGTACCAGCAAGTCTTCACCGACAGCGGTTTCGACGGCTTCGACGTCCACCAAGGAGTCATGGGCGTGCAGCACTTTGAGCGTGGGCTCATGTGGGCCGAGACCTATCTCAGCGGCCACATGCAGCCCCAGTTCCAGCCGCGGAGCTCGTATCGGCACCTGCAGTGGCTGCTGGGAAGAATTGACGCACTTTGAAAGAGGTCAAAATTACGAACCCGGCGGGGGTACCCGTGATTCGTTTGTTCGCCAACACAAAGCAGAACCTTTCTGTCAAAGCAAAACTGTGGGAACGACGGAAAAACGTGTATCTATTTGATAATATGTAGATAGGATATCCCTTTTCTCGCCGTAATCTACTCATTTCCCATGTCCCCATGTTCCTTTATGAAGATATCTAGGATGCCAGGAGTTTTTTTTTGTTTGTGAGAGACTCAATCCATCGTGCCCAAGTCGTCTGCCACGGTGAACTTTGCACTCGTCTTCTCCCTGACCATGTCGACGGTGACGCCCTTTGCGGTTTCCTTGAGTGTCAAGCCCTTGCCACCGAGCCGGTCGACCTCGAAGACGGCCAGCTCGGTGATGATCATGCTGACGACGCCCTTTCCCGTCAGGGGCAGGTCGCACTCGTCGACGATCTTGCTCTGGCCGTCCTTGTCGGTGTGGTAGGTGCAGACGATGATCTTTGTCTGGTCCGGGTTGCTGACCAGGTCCATGGCGCCGCCCATGCCGTTGAACGCCTTGCCCGGGATGATGTAGTTGGCCAGGTCGCCCTGGGCCGAGACTTGGAGCGCGCCCAGGATCGACACGTCGATGTGGCCGCCACGGATCATGCCGAACGACTCGGCCGAGTCGAACGTCGACGCGCCCGGCACCAGCTTGATGGGCTCCTTGCCCGCGTTGACCGTGTCCGGGTCGGCCGTCTCGCGCGACTCCGGGTACGGTCCCATCCCGATGATGCCGTTCTCGGACTGCAGCCACACCTTGGTCGAGGCCGGGAGGAACGAGGGCGCCAGCGTCGGGATCCCCACGCCCAGGTTGACGTAGTACCCGTCCTTGAGCTCCTTGGCCGCGCGGCGGGCGATGCGGTTGCGCCGGACGATCTCGGGACTCTGGGTCTGCTCGTCGGTCGTCGTGGCTTGCTCGGCCTGCGCGGCGAGGACGAGCTTCTCGATGTTCTTGGGCGACGTGGCCGGGCAGATGCGGTCGACGTAGATGCCCGGCAGGTCGACGTGGTCCGGGTCCAGGGCGCCGACGGGGACAATGTTCTCGGCCTCGACGATGGCCAGCCGCGCGGCCTTGGGCATCAGCACGCCGTACGCCTTGGTCGTGGTGCGGAAGATGCAGTTGCCCGCCTCGTCGGCCTTCCAGGCCCGCACGATGGCCACGTCGCCCCGCAGCGCCGTCTCCATCATGTACGTGCGGCCGTCGAAGGTGCGCGTCTCGCGCGCCCGCCCGGGCTCCACGACCGCGTGCTTCCCCGTCTGCGGGTCCTTGGGCCCCAGGCGCATGGGGATGCCGCCCGTCTCGATCAGCGTGCGCGCCCCCGTCGCCGTGAAGAAGGCCGGGATCCCCGCCCCCGCCGCGCGCAGCCGCTCCGCGATCGTCCCCTGCGGACACAGCTCGATCGACACCTGTCCGTCGTGGTACTGCTTGCCGAGCGGCTTGTTGGTGCCGATGAACGACACGATCATCCGCGAGATCTGGCCCGTCGACGTCAGCTTGGCCAGACCGTATTCGCCCGCGCCGGCGTTGTTGGACACCACCGTCAGATCGCGGATGCCTTTTTTGCGGATGGCGTCGATCAGAGTTTCTGTATTCCCATCTCAATGGTTAGTTTTTGTTTCTGTCTTTGACCTCGAAGTGGTTTTGATTGTAAAGAAACAGAGAGGCCATATCCCAACCAGATAGGACGATCACGATGATGATGACGACAACGCACGCACCTGCTACGCCGCACAGTCCAAAACCTGCACTCAGAACGGTGACGCCGTCGGGGACATCGGCAATGGCATCGTCTGCGCTCTTGAAGACCTTGGACGCCCCTCGATCAACGACGGGCGCTTGTCCTCGTGGTTGTGCCGAGACGGCCTCTTGTCGTTCCCTCCGGCTCGATTTGGCGCTGAAGTACCGCTTCTTGACCTGCGTCCTCGGAGCAAGAAATATCAGAGGCGTCGACGACAAGGGCCGTAACGACCGCGATGGCGGTGACGCCGATATAGAGCTTCGCGCAACAGTCATCACTCTTTGAGAGCCCGCGGGCCCTGCGAGGAGTGTCATGGAGCCAGGCACACTCGGGTGTTTCTTTCGATCTTCTCTCTCTCTCTCTCTCTCTCTCTCTCTCTCTGGGCTTTGTTTCTGTGTGGTATTATGCACTGCCTGGACAAGAGAAACTCCCCCAGGGTCAATCACGGCCACAGCCCGTGCACGCTTAAACCGATGTATGTATGTATGGCAGGATGGAAGGACAGTCAACGCCGACAACGGAGGCAAAGCACCAGCCACTGCTTGAACCGTGTAATTAACACCGAGTAGTTGACCCTTCGTACAAATAACTCCAATGGAGAAGGCCAAACAGCCCCACAAGGGGACCCTTTTTGACGGGGAAACCCTGATTCGCACGACCGGCGGTTTTCCGTTGGGTTTTGGTGTTCGGCTATTGATCTGAAACCCGAGTGGGGAGAGGTGGGAGGATATACCGAAAGTCCTGCTTTACACGTGGTGTTTTCGGCGGTGTCGGGAAATGTTTTGATTGCCTCGTGGTACTTATGAATTTAGCAGAATTCCGGGGGGTCGGAGATTGTTGCTTGTTTACCCTCGAAGACGAAGATATATTCATATATATTGATATATTGGTATCTTGATGTGCTAGGTATGGTGTGTATGAGAAACTGTGGTCTTTTATATCAGATCTCTCTCGGTGTGAGTCTGAATGGGGAGAGGAGTGATATTGCGTGAAAGCAACAATAACACTGGAAAAGAGGCTGCACGCTTACCACTATCTACTGTAGGTAAGTCACAAGCTTACAATCAATCAATACAAAGCATTGAAAACAGGTCAATAAAAGGATGCTGCTATATAGGTCGACCAGCTCACGGCAACCCCATTCTCTTGGTCGTCCGCTCGTTATGGCCCCACGCATCCACGCTGCTGTCGTGCACCGTACACCTCCTCATGTCGCGGGCGAATTTCTCCATAAACGTGCCCTCGCCGGCCTTGTGCATAACGCAGGTGTTGTCCCAGACGACCAGGTCGCCCGCGTTCTCCCACTCGACGCTGACGACGTACTTGGGCTGCGCGGCGTGCGCGAGCAGTCTCTCGATGAGCTCCGTGCCCTGCGGCTCGGGAACCCGTTCAAACGGCTGCGTCGGCGTGGGCACAAAGTCAGCCGACCGCGGCGTCTTGTACTCGAGGTGGTGCATGTGGTTGGCGATGTAGAGGTTGCGCCGTCCGCTGGGCCGGTGCGTCTGGACCACATCGTGCCGTCCAAAGGGGAATTCTTCCGGGTTCACGTCCTTGAGCCACGGGCTGTCCTTGGGCGCTGCTTTCTTCCGTGAATGCATCAGGCTGTGCGCCCCGATGTACTCGTTCTCGAGCAGGTCGCGACGCAGATCGTCGGGAAGCTCGTCAAAGGCGGTTCGCGTGTCGGCGAAGTCGGTGTTGCCGCCGTGGCCCCTGGGGGGAAGCTGGTGGGCGCGAAGGAGGCTATAGCCGGCTCGTCGGGGGTTGAAACTCGAGTCGACGTGGAAGATCGAATTGCCCTGTTAACAGGTAGGAAGGTGAGTATACTGACCCATGCTCTGGACATTTGGGGAGAAATGGCAAAATGGCCCAGATGGATTGTTCCTGCTTACCAGACCCATGTGATGACGTTTACTTCCAATTTTGACAAGTTGCCCGTCGTCCTCTTGGTTCGAGACGTCGAACAGCTCATCAAACGGGAAGCGATTCTTGCGACCTAAAGTCAGATATGGCTTGATGTCGTCTAGTTCGCCAAAGAGGGCGGAGAAGGCAACATGCCGTGCATCGTCGAGACCGGCATTGCGGAAAACGAGCACTCCATACTATGAAGATCACGTCAGTTTATCAACAGTGCCGAAGCTGAGGGGGGGAGTATATCGTCGGGGTTGAAAAACTGGTGATGAATCCCGCTGTTGGAATGGCATGAGGGAGGAATGGACATACATCGACAATGGCTCGACGGATTTCATCAAATACGTCCTTCTCAACAGGCTTGGAGAAATCCACCCCAGTCACCTCAGCTGCAAACGTCGGGCCGAGCTGCTTCAGCCCGATGTAATGGTTCTCGGTATCTGTGGCGTGAGGCATCGTCCACGGTCACTAAGGGGCGAGAAAGCAAAAGGGAAACACTATGATATTCTGTTCTTCAGCCTTAATGATGGATTCGTCGTCCTTTCACAAGGGTGGAAAACGCCCAAGGTATTTGCTCGATATTTTATCACTAACCTGTCGTCTGGAAGGGCGCAAGTTCATTAACCGGACACCCGTCGATTTAATGCCGCCCCCGCGGGAGGAAACCGACGGTCGTATTAACGAGAGATAAGCGGGATTCTCGACGAAGAAGAGATATCTCGGAGTTTCCCGCACGAAGCAGAGCGAGTAAGCCAGGCTTGGACGATAAGATATATATATCAAGACATGGAAAGAAACCAGGTCAGGAGACGTTGATGCTCAGCTTACCTCCCTGGCTAGACGGCAATACGGATATCCCGAAACCAATTACTGCGAACTGTCTTGGAGATTTGGTTGTATACTGCCGAGTAGAAAGTCCCTCTTCCCCCGCGGGGGAGGTCGAAATACCGAGGCTGGGTGGGAAAAGGGGGTTGATCCCCCATATTTGTTTGTGGAGAGGGAAAACCATTTTGCGGGGGTCAACGCGTGTGCCATGTCAATTCGCTCCTCCTTGTGGCGTCTCTTCCAAGCAGACGAATGTTGAGAATTATTGAGTCAATGATGTCCCATAAGAACTGAATCCCCAAGCCCGTTCGGCCTTTATTGCCCCGGTACCGGGACAACTTCACCCATGTCCATGCCCTTGGATTGCAATCAGTCTGGACTCACAGGTCCCTGGGGTCCTCCATCTCCAGACCGCCAGCTTACTCGTACAGATCAACCTGCCTCGTTCTGGGCGTGCGGAGAGAGATCAACATGCATTTCCCTGAAAGAGGAGGATCAGAACAACCCTGCCACGCGCTGCGCAAATCGCTTCATCATTTCGTGCTTGGCTGTCTCCTCGCGACCTGCATGATACTCCTTTGCAACTCTGCTTTCCGGCGGATCATTACCCGGGACGACGGACCTCGCTACCTATCCAGACGTGAAATAATGCGCCAAGCCAGGGACTGGTAGCTGTGGGCGAGGCACAGGGGACTTGTCCAAACCATCGGTCCACAAACCCCATGTGCCCGCCGGGGTCTACGCCGATCCGGCAGACAGGATGGCAAGTTGGAGCTTTATGAGAGGGAGAGATATTCAAATACCGACAGCATGTGCGCAAGGAGACGAGGGTCGTGAATCTCGACGTCTCTCCTCTTTTCTTTCTCTTGTTTTGCTCGATACTGTGAAGAAACACCTCTCTGGCCTTGTCGAGCATTTCTTTTTCAAGCAGGATACCTATACACGATAGACAGCCGGCTGAGGACATTATCACACCATGGCGAGCACCACCACAACCCCCCCAGAACCCATCACCATGTCAAAAGAGGTGGGCGTCGAGACCAGTGGCGTCCATGTCGAAAAGGTCTCGGAGCACGAACAACTCGTCGCGAGACTAAATAACCTCGACCCTCCGATAACGCCAGACGAAGTCAAACGGGTGAGGAGGAAGATTGATCTACGCCTCCCGCCGTTCCTGATGGTCCTGTATATCTTCACCTGGCTGGATCGTGGAGCATTGGGTAGGTGGTTGTCTTTCCCTCTTACGTTCCCCCCGAAATTCATATACGTGCACGATCGGCACTGACGCGTGCGGGAATCCAGGTAATGCTGCCCTGATGGACATCAAGACAGACCTCAACCTCTCAGGAGCTCAGTTTAGTCTCGCGGTCAGCATGTTCTTCGTCGGTACCTGCGTCGCCGATCTGTTCACCAACGTTGGAATGCGATATATTCGTCCAAGTCTCTATCTCTCCGGGGCAATGGTAGGTCCATCCGTGCCTTGGGACAGATCTCTGGAAGAGTTGTTCACGCTGACTTGACTCACATGTAGATCATCTGGGGTATCATGGCGACACTCCAGGCAGTTGCCGGTGGAGCTGCCGGGTTATATGCCATCAGGTTCTTTCTGGGTATCTTTGAGGCTGCGTTCATCTCAGGGGCGCCATACTTGACCACTGTGGTAAGTACATAAGTCTGCACCACTCACTCAGCAATGGTCTATGTACCCATGCTAATAGTGACTACAGATGTATCCTCGAGCGGTAAGTGCCCGACTTGTACCAAATCCACCTGACAAGACAGGCTTAAGAAATACCTACTGACTACGAATATACACGTATAGGAATGGGGTAAGCGTATCTGCGTGTACCTCTCAGCAACGCCCATCGCCGGAGCATTTGGTGGCTGGATCGCCTGGGGCGTGGCGCACATCTCCAACCCGCACATTGAAAACTGGCAGGTCCTGTTCATCCTCGAGGGCCTGCTGACCATCGCCTTTGGCATCCTCTGCATCTGGGTGCTGCCGGACCGCCCACACAACACGCGGTGGCTCAGCCCGCGCGAACGCGACGTGGCCGACTGGCGGATGATGAACGACGGCAACCGCACGCACGGCAAGGTGCACTGGGCCGTGGTGGCGCGGCAGTTGCAGGACTGGCGCATGTGGGCCAACATCGCCATCTACATGTGCCAGGTGATTTCGACGTACACGATCGCGACGTTTACGCCCATCATCGTCAACACGATGGGCTTCGACAAGGTCAAGGCGCAGCTGATGGTCGCGCCGCCCTACTGCGTCGCCTTCGTCATGGTCTTCGTCGTCGGGTACCTGTCGGACCGGCTCAAGTCGTGCTCGGGCCTGCTGGTGGTCAACTCGGTCGTCGCCGCCGTGGGGGACCTGATGCTCGTGCTGCTGCCCTCGCGGTACAACCACGCCCGCTACGGCGCCACCTTCCTCACCCTCACGGGCATCCTCTCCGGCGTGACCCTCTCGGTCGGCAACATCACGGGCAACTGCTGCGGCGACATCAAAAAGGCCATCGCCTCGGGCCTGTTCCAGGCCTTTGGCTCCACCATGGGCGTCGCCACGGGCTACCTCTTCCCCCAGAAGGACGGGCCCGAGTACAAGACGGGCTTCTGGGTCCTGTTCGCCTGCACCTGTTTCACCGGCACGGGCGCCGCCATCGTCACCGTCCTCAACGTCCGCGAGAATCGCAGGCGCGACGCCCTCTACGGCCCACCGCCCACGGACCGCGTCATCGATTTTGATGAGGACGGCTTGATGGAGAAACACCCTCATTGGAGGTATTACAGGTGATCGAACGAGAGTGTGAGCGGGCTTGCGATGTTGTGAGCTGGTGAGCTAGAGGGCAAGTCAGCCCTGCAGCAAGCAGACGAGCAACCGAGGAGGGTTGTTTTGTGTGATGGTTTAGGTGATAGATCCTCTCGCACAAGCATGGGTTGGGTTGGATTGGACGAGGACACGCGAGACGAGAAAAGGGTGATTTGCAGTACTTATACACCCACCAATCAATCAATCAGTCAGTCAGTCAGTCTTAAGTGGTCGTCAGTCAGCAAGTATGTGCCTCGAAATACTTGTAGACCACCCAACCGAGCAAGACAAGTTACAGGCCAATAAACATGGATGCCCGGTTATCTCGACCTCTCAACGGGCCTTTTCTTCGTCCAAGCTAGCATCTCTCAATCCTCATATTGATTATCAATTGATATTACCCTGGGTCCGAGGCGTACAAATGCTCTCAAGAGGTATATATAGTCTAAGATGCTACGCGCAGGGCGCACATAATTCAATTCTTATTCAGAGGTAGGCACAGTCTCATCATATTGAAATTACCCAAAGTTGAAGCATAAGCCCGATAGGAACATAGACTGAGTCACGCTGGATCATTGGAACAGGTGATGTGATGGTAGATAAATAGATAGCTTGCCGGGCATCACTGGATGAAATGGCGCCCTGGTCAGCGTCATCATTCCCTCCTTACTGATGGTATATATGCACCACTTGAACAGGTCTTTACCTAACCCAAAATACTACCACGACGGTGCGACGAGCTGGTTGACATGCACACTTTTCAAACGCCATGATTGAACCCCTTCCCCCCTTTTATTCGTCTTGAACCCCCCTACCCGAGTGACCGCCTCCGTGCATCCCCAATATAACTCCCCGAATACTTCGCTTGTGCGTGGAATAATGCTACATTGCACATTCGTGGATCCCGCCGGGACCGAGTTCGTTATACTCGCTCCGGCTTAGGAATCCCTTGCTGTTACCCTGGTCCACAATAAACACCACTTTGGCAGCCACTTGAGCTCCCAAGAACCCGGCTTCTTCCATGCCGGACATGGCTGGGGTCTTCCACTCGGGGAAATACTCGGGCGGTTTCACGACTTTGATGGAGATGGGCGTTTGGGAAAATCCCCTGTGTTGATGGGAGAGTGTCGACATAGGGTTGTTTGGATCGGACCCACCCATTGGCGTTGGTGTCCCTACCAGAGAAGGATTCATACCGGGCACTTGAAGATGGTGCGGTTGTGTGTGAGGCTGCATCATGTTCTTGGTCGCGGCAACAAGCAAAGGGTTAACACCATGACCCCCCGGATTATGGAAGGCGTGGTTTCCCTGGCCGGGAATGGGTGTATTTGTGCCGGGCGTGGCGACCGGAGTTGTGAAATTCGAGGGAAGCTCAGAGGTAAAAATGGTGGCAGTTGACGGAGACAAAACATATCGTGAGTTGAGCACCGAGAGAAGGTTTGACGTGAAGCCTGTTGTCGCGGCACAAGGCATGGTTAGCAACAGCGCTTTCTCTCAATCCCAAATCAAACCTACCTCTGATTCGACTTCCATTTCCCAATATGATCAGATTGTCCCAGAGTGTCGCCCGCTGGGGAATGTCGGGAACACTCGAGATGGTATGATGGATCGCCTCGGCAATTATGTCGATGATGCCCTCAGAAGCTCCTGGAGCGGGAGTCGTTGCCATGAATCGTTCCACACCAACTTCAATCTCCCGTTTTCGTTTTCGACTCAAGGGCAGACCTCCTTCCGTCGACTCCTCCACCGGGACAAAGTCCACATAGGTGAAAGAAGCGCGTTCTCGTTCTGAGTTGCGTAGTCGGACTTGTCTGGTAGCATCAACGGCGCCGCCTTTCTTCGCCGCTGCTTTTTCGGCCTTTTCCCGTTCGCGCTTTGCGAGCAACTCGGCAGCGTTGTCGCGCGCAACGATGGCCGCGACATCAAGAACACCGTCATTGTCCTCTTCATCGCCATTAGGACCCTCTTCACCTACCATGGTTCCCATCCCTGGACCTCGAGGTGCCTGTCCCGGTCTCAGTCCCTCGCCATCCTTTGCGTTCATTCCAGAATCCAACGCTCCTGTAGATGCCGCGGCAGCTGGATTGGCGGCAACAACAGCTGTACTGCTGGAGGTAGACTTTGGATAGGGAGTTCCAACAGGCAAAATCTCGCAAATCGGGCTCTTTTTCAATTGCTCTGCCATATCTTCGTCGAACCCTTGACTCTCCAACAACTGCTGTAGCCGAAGTGTCATCGCGCGTCCGCCACAACCAGAAAGCGCCATGCCCCGTCCAAGTTCGTTCACCTGAAAGTCTGTAACTGCGCTGACATCACATTTCTCATGCCCGACATCCAACACCAGCGCAGTCGGCACGCCATATGCATAGCACGCCGTCAAGGCGGCGTCCATTAGACAGAAGGCTGGGATCTTCCAATGCTCAAAGACGTATTGGGTAATCATTTCATGATCTCTGGCGCTCCAACACGGCTGTGCGACGAAGAGGACCGGCATGTGGAAGGGTGGAGAGATCATGTTGTAGATGTGCGAAAGAAGGGCGAAAAAACAGGGCCAATTCTCAATGTGCCCTTCCTTGATCGGGTAGACAGCGCCTTCGGTAGACCAATGGTCGTCCTCGAAAACTTCCGTGGTTTCCTCTTCGACTTCGGCCGTGGCTTCTCCTCCTTCTTGGGGTGCGGCGGGTTGTGCTTCCTGCTCCAGCTGCGGAGCCATCTCAGTGTCCTCAGTCTCGGGTTTAGAGGCTTCCTCAGCTGCAGGAGCCTCTTTCATCTCGACATCCTCCAACGAAGCAGGTTCTTGTTTTGGCTCTTCAGCTTTAGCTTGCTCATCGGCCGGCGGTTCTTCTACCTTGGGCTGGGGATCTGGTTCTCCATTTGGCTGCGTGGTTTGGGGAACTTCGCCATTGGTTTGCTCAGCCTCGGCCGCTGCCCCATCTATCTGGTCGCCATTTGCTTGTTCGGTCTTTTTCTCCTCGCCATCTGGAACAGGAATATCTGGTTTGGCATCGACCTCAATCGGTTCCGGCTCAGCAGGCGCAGGGGCGGGCGCGGGTTCCGGTTCGACCACTTTCGGCTTCGTCGTGATCTTGGTTCTGATCTTGATGGGTTCCCATTCCCCAGGATTCGCGCCCGCGAACATGCGCGTGGGAAAGCGATACCTCGGAGGAGTAAAAGACTCGGGCAAACCGAGCTGTGCGGCGGTGATTTGCGAGCCAGGCGCAATGATCTAGGAGAGGGTCAGCAAAAGCGGTTCATTCGTGTTGTCCTTTGCGCGCGGCAGTGTTGCTTACGAGCACATGCTCATCTTTAAAAGGAGGCATCGCGGGGTTACGCGGTCACATTTATCTATCCTTGTCAATGGGACTGGCGCGGCGGATCGCAAATCATGAGGGACATTTTTCTGTCGCGCCGAAAGACGAACTGCGCATTGCGACGCGAGGCTCTGCCAAGAATCAAGGCTGCGCTCAAAGTTGAAATGCTCTACGGCATTTTGCAGACGTGGTGTAATTGATCCACCGGACGCAAAGCAGTCTTGGCAGTCAGGCAACTGCGCAGTTTCAGTAATAATAATAGTGGATGGTTGAACTCTCATCCCCACCAGCTCTAGCCATGATCGTCCAAGGCAACTACTGCTAATAAATTCAAGACTCCATGGCACCACAAAAGCTGTGCACTTACTTTGCGAAGGGACGATGTATGAAGGGCAACCATTGCACTTTCTCTCATGAGCGAACCATAGACAGCGAGCAACATGTCGGCGCGGGCGCATACACTCCACGCACTACGATTGAACACTTCGATACTACTGGAGCAGTGGTGACTCATGGCAGCCCTCTTGCTCAAATACCTAAAGACTCTCGCGCAACAATCCCTTGCAAGTTTCTTCGGACCCCCAGTGGTTGTCGAAATGACCCATGTCCGTACCTCCATAGGCCAGATGGTTATAAAGTTGGGAGGACAGCTGATCCTGAGGTGAATGAGAACGAAGTAACACAGGAAAAAGAAGGTGAGGACGACTTTACGCGAGATCTGTCGGGGGCCCTGGTCTCCTTCAACGACATCGGTCAAATTCGCAGAGTTTCTCTCCCAACCGATTTTTCTCGTGCATGCATAACCGGTCTTCCACCCACGATTCAAAGCGAAACAGTGGTTCAGATGCTTCTTGGCTTCGGCTTCAATATAGACATTGAGTGTGTTCGAATCTCGAGAAGTACCGCACCGCCAAAGACAAAAGCTTTAGTAAAAGCGGAAAACCCGTCATTTGCGAAAGAGCTCAGCGACAAGCTCAAGCAGCAAAAGACCGAAGTCAGCGCAGTGCCACTTCCAATTGATAGCAGGAGGTCGAATTGCAGAAAAGTCTACATATCCTGGCACAAAGCTACCCGAAGCTTTTGGCTAAAATTTGGCAGTAGCGATATTGCGAACCGCGTTGCACAGAAATTCGCCAAAGGTCATTACAAAGTTCTAGGTCAATCCGTCACATGTTCCGGTGTGAAGGGAGGTGCTCCTCGAGGGGCAAGAGATGGAACTTTGCACAATCCTGTCGCTTGGACAGTTACGTTATGCGATGTACCTGGCGATGTAACAAACAAAGATGTCCAAGATGGCATCCACACGCCATATGACAGACCACGCCACATCGAGCCATCGCCCGTTAGCTACTACGCTTCAGACACACAAGTTGGCCTCGAAGTGCGTTCCCTCTTGGAAGAACACGGCCGACTGGAGAGTTTCGATCTCCCGCCCACATCCAGGGGCAGGCGAGTAAAGGCTGTCGCTTGGTTTGAGGACGAGGCAGACGCAATATCGGCGTGCTCGCTCAACAACAAGCAGATCTCTATCCTGCAGCAGGGGAAGCTAACCCTAACACTTGTACAGTCTGTCAAGGTTAAGATCCAAACGCCAGTCTACTTCGCATCCAAGAGCAGGATTGAGGAGGAAATGAAGACCTGGGCGGGGCAACATCTCACGTCTCGTGTGTACGT